CTACAACCCATGTCTAAGCAAAAGCTTGTCGAGGAGCGAGGGGAAGAAGGGAGAAGCTGCTTGCTATGCATAGAAGACTCCAGACTACATGCGTAGACTTGAGCACTACGTATGTATGTACCGCGGCACCACGAGATTGATTCCTATGCATACGTGCGGCATGATAGTCGACCACTGATGAGTGAGCTCGCCACCAGAACCAAAAAAGGGGAGAAACGACCCACCGGGAAGAGGGGTAGCGATGCAGAGATGGATTGAAGCGGCGGGGAGTAAACATGGATCGGTGCGAAATAAAAAAAAAATGTCATCAGTGGCAACCAGGTCGCAACAACAACGAACCACCATATAAGGATTTGCTCTCATCATCATCGATCTCCCACCCACGGTTCAAACACATATTAGGCAGGCAGATTGTTTCTCGCTGGCGCCGTTGTCTTAACAGAGGCAACAACAAACAGCAGCAGCAACAGCAGCACCCGCCCTCGCTGGAGCAAGGAGCGAGGAGGAGACGCTTGAAGGCTGGCCTCTACCATCGCCTGCGCTTGGCTCTGCGCTTGCTACTTGTATTTTGTTCGGTGGCAGCAAGAACGAACGCGGTAATTTTTCTTCTTCTTGCACAAACAAGTTGGCGAAGCGCTCGGTGAATCCTGCCTCTTTCGATCGAACCAACAAGTCCAAGGGGCCGCGGCGGCCCGCCCGGAGTCGCGTACGCCGGAGCATCATTCGTTCGCGGACCAATACTACTGCCCTCTTTGCTGAGAGCCCGAGCTGCTTATTCCACCATGTCCACCACCGTATGCCATCCTGACTACATGGTCGTGGGCATGCAAAATGGCGAGCAGGTGTGTCGGCGTGGTCTGCGTATATATAGTCTAGAGACTAGACAATAGACTACTTATGAAGTATATTTTTTCTTCTCTTATCATTGGACTCTGCCTGTTGTCTGCCCCTCTGGCCCCTATCCTCCACTTCTATAAGCTAGACGACCCAACCGGGGTCACATAGGAGGGGGGTGTTGGACCCCCTCCTGCGGTTCCTGCTTGAGATATTGATATGTATCTTCCCTACTGTACACAACACTAAGAATGTCGGCTCCCGCGCGCCCGCCACTTGTGCGTACAAAACGCGCGCGGGTGCTGCTGCTGCTGCTGCTGCTGCTGGTTGCCACTGCCTGACTGGTACCATCCGGACAACCTCTTTCACCCGTAGCTGCCACAATCCATCGACGACGTTGAAACTACTTCCAGTGAACAAGTTTACTTGTCAATAATGCAACAGCAAAGTTCTAGAGGATCGCGTCATCCACTTGGTGGACGAGAGTCCTGCTGTAGGGTGTCTGTGCACTCTGTGCACCACCCTCCCGTCAGCGCTTCAACATGATGCAATGGTTGCTGCGTTGATGGGTCTTGTCGGAACTACTGCAGCAGACTCTACTGGAAGGAGCCGATGCCGACGCGTTGTCTCTTCGCAGCAGCAGCCGTAGCGCAGCACAAACCTCTTCATCCTCCGTCTCCACCCTTGCAGTGGCTCGACAACATCGTTAGTAAATAGAGAATTTGGGAGGCTCTACGAAGTAGACTATGCGTAGCTATTTAGACTAGACTATATATTTATGACTAGACTATGCATAGACTATTTATCTTCAGCAGCAGGAACAATCGCAGCGGGCACGCCATCCATTGTAGATGCCTTGGAGCTTGGATGTTTTTTGCCGAAGAATATACCAAGGGCTCGAACCACGCAATCAAAGCTGCAGCTACTGCTGGAGTTTTCGCACCTACTTGTTGTTCTGCCTCCAAAAGGCTATTACAGAAATACCGGTACACGGTAGGCATAAAGAGGCGGTTCGAGTCTCTGCTCATTACCTTTTACATGAACATTCGTATACCGGCTGAATTGACGCACTGACGCAAAAGTCTTTCTTTCCGTGTCCACACAGACAAGGCTTTTCTACAAGACGCGTTCCCAATGGGTCGCTGTTTTGCGCATTTCAGCCTGTCCAACCTCTCCTGATCAGCTCGTTCTAACTTGCGCACAGAGGCTCCAACCGAGGGCGCTGACTGACGCGGACGCCTTCATGATGACTTGGTCACAGGCCATACCTGTCAGACAAAAGTGCACAATCGATCAGGAAAAAGATGTGGTACAGCCTAGCTACACAGTCATTATTATTAGTACCGAGTAGTTACACAGTCATTATTATTAGTACCGAGTCGAAGGGAGGATTGCATGTTGGGGACTTTTTTCGTGGTCACGAGAGAGAGAGAAACAATGGATGTTTATCGCTCTCTCTCTCTCTCTCCCTCTCTCTGTTTTGGTTGAGAGCAAAATCCGTCAAAACCCTGAAGCAATGTTAAGGTTTTTCCCGTTACCAATCAATGCGTGTTGTTGCACCCAGAGTTTCACCCAGACCGGGGCTAGAACATGGCTAAGATCCCCAGAACTCTATCCATAGGAGCATACAAAGTGTTTTACCGCAGGTTGCGCTTACAGTACGGGCCCGGAGATAAGAAACGTCAAAATCGGGTTGAGGCTCAATCCCTTTGTTTGCGATGAAGGACCAGCCGAGAAGTCGTCCATTTGCTTATAACTTAAGGAGGACCCGATTCGCAAGGTATCTGTTGATTGACCTTTACCTGAATCGGCACACCATCGCTTATGGCGTCAGTTGAGTACTGGTTCGAATCTCCTTGGGTACACACTTTTTCTCCTGACTTGGATATTTGCCCAATGGACACAATGTGTGTCAGTCCTGAGAACACCTCTTGGAGTCGATCCTAGAAAGAACCTTGTGACAATTCCATCGAATTACCCATCCTGGCCACAAGAGGTTCCCAGTTGAGGCTAAATTCTGTGGGTGGAGAGTGTTAAGGAGGACCCGATTCGCAGGGTATGTATGTGTCGATTGACTTTTACCTGAATCGGTACACCTTCGCATAAGGCATTTCTTATTCTTGCTCCTTTGGACTGTAGCATCCTCCTGATTCTGCTATTTCTCATTTTCTTAAAATTTTGGCTAAGAGATGCGTACAACAGCAC